AGCAATCCCCCTTCTGGGTATCTATCCCCAAAAAATGAAAACACTTACTCGTAAATATATATGTAGCCCCATGTTCATTGAAGCATTATTCACAGTAGCCAAGACATGAAAACAATCTAAGTTTCCTTTGATGGATGATTGGAGATAATATATATATAGCCAGGGGCATGAAATTCGTGCACTTGGCGGGGAAGTGGGGGGGGGGGGGGGTGTCCATCAGCCTGGCCTGCACCATCTCACAGTCTGGGATCCCTCAAGGGATACGATGGCTTAGGCCTGCTGGGAGTGGGCCTAAGCAGTCAGTCAGACATCCTTAGTGTTGCTGTGGAAGCAGGAGAGGTTCCTGCCACCGTTGCTGCATTTGTCAGCAGTGAGCCCGGCTCAGGGCTTCTGCTGAGCAGCACTCCCCCTGTGGGACTATACTGACCACCAGGGGACAGCTCCTGCTTTGAGTGTCTTCCCTGCTGCTGGTCAGTGCGTGTCATAGCGACCAATCATTCCACCTTTCAGTTGATTTGGATATTAGCCTTTTATTATATAGGATATATATATATATATATATATATATATATATATATATATATATATATTACCAGCCATAATAAAGGATGAATTACTGCAACAAAATAAATAGATTTTAAGAGTATCATGTTAAGCAAGGTAAGGCAGAGGGAAAAGCACAAGAACCTTGATTTCCCTTATACAGGAGCTATAAAACAGAAAGCAACAGATGTACCAAAAATCCTCATATACACAGATAACAGTATGGTGATTACCAGAGGGTAAGGGGTTGGGGGAATCTGAAGAGGATAAAGGGGGTCAAATCTATGGTGACAGAAAACTAGGCTATGGGTGGTGAGCCCACAATGCAATCTATCAATGATGCATTATAGACTTGTACAACTGAAACTTAATTAACGCTATTAATCACTGTCACCCCAATACATTTGATTTTTTTAAATAATGATTTTTAAAAATGTTGCTTCAAGCTGAGGCCATGATATTAAAATCACACATATAAGTGCATACAGATATGAGAACTGAAAAAATGACAAGGTGATGTCTGAGCCAACTAAGTGGATGTGGAGAGTAGATGCTGACAGAGACATATTCATAGGTGACCAACCAATTTCTTTTTTTTTTTTTTTAATATATTTTATTGATTTTGTACAGAGAGGAAGGGAGAGAGATAGAGAGCTAGAAACATCGATGAGAGAGAGTCATCGATCAGCTGCCTCTTGCACACCCCCTACTGGGGATATGCCCGCAACCAAGGTACATGCCCTTGACCGGAATCGAACCCGGGTCCCTTCAGTCCCCAAGCTGACGCTCTATCCATTGAGCCAAACCGGTCTCGGCTACCAACCAATTTCTTCAACTAAAATAAAACTGCCACCTACAGTCCATCTTCCAAATTGTCTACTTCTTTTTCCTGGTAAACTAGTATAATGTCAATATGTATAATCATACTTCTTGATGGGCTAAGAAAGTATTTTCTGTCCTCAACATTTTCTTTGATGTTTCTGTGCCCCTTGCCTGGTCAGGCTCATCCTTCTACACAAGGACGTGGAGGGAAAGAGGTCCAGGACCCAAAAGAGTAGCACAGAAGTCAGTTCAGAAGTATGTCAAGTAGGACAAATAATCCTTCGTCCCAAATACACAAGAGTTGCTCCTAGCTATTTAGACTTATAAACTTTTGCTTAGCTGCAGTTTAATAAAATATTCTTAAATAGCCCTGGCCAGGTGGCCTAGTTGGTTAGAGCATCATCTCGATACGCCAAGGTTGCAGATTTGATCTCTAATCACATACAAGAAGCAACCAATGAAAGCATAAATAAGTGGAACAACAAATGTCTCTCTCTCTCTCTCTCTCTCTCTCTCTCTCTCTCTCTCTCTCTCTCTCTCCAAAAAGAAAAAAAGAAAATCAATAAAAAGAAGTAAACTAATATATTGCTGTGTTCAAGAGAAAACACATATTTTCAAGTAGTGATAATAGAGGAAAATTAAGCTGAAACTGATTTGGCTCAGTGGATAGAGTGTCGGCCTGCGGACTGAAAGGTCTCAGGTTCAATTCCGGCCAAGAGCATGTACCATGGTTGCGGGCACATCCCCAGTGGGGGGAGGGAGGGAAGGTGTGCAAGAGGCAACTGATGGGTGATTCTCTTTCATCGATGTTTCTAACTCTCTATCCCTCTCTCTTCCTCTCTGTAAAAAAAAAAAAAAAAAAATCAATAAAATATATTTTTTTAAAATAGAGGGAAATTAAGGAAGACAAAGGGACAGCCTGTTAAAGGCTCTATATTAGATAAGGTGGTCAGAGAAGGCCTCTCTATGACTATTTGAGTAAAGCCCTGAACAGATCTACCTAAAAAAAAGTATTCCAGGTGCAAAGTATGTACTTGGCATGTTCACAAAACAGCAATAAAACCATGGTAGCTACAGCAATAACGGTAAGGAAGAGGGTCGGAGGTGAGATTAGAGAAGAAGCTGGGGATCAGATCATGTAGGGCAAACTTAGAGAGGCATTATCTTCAGCATCATCAAATATGAAGTTTCCCTTCTTTGCGGTGGGTCTCAGGAAATGCCAATTAAGTTAGTATTAGCCATAAAGAACCTCAGAGGTAAATCTACCTCCCACAGACATTGTAAAACATTCTCAAGCTAACTAGCATGACTATTAGATTATTTATTCTTCGGAAATTTCTTCTTACACACACTGGGGAATGAGGTTTTCTCAATTAACAGTTAAAAAGTATCTCCTTTTCTAGCCTAGTTAATTCACTAAGGCATTTTTGTTGTTTTTGTTTGTTTGTTTAATGCTAAGGTATATCTTCCATATTTGCATGGGATTCTACTTCTGGCCACATATGAATGGGTCCTTCTTGACTACTGTCTCCATGAAATTAACTTCTCAAATTTAAGATTTCTAACACCACTAAATAGGCAGCTGATGAATTAAGTCTATTTGGGCTGCATGGCATAGCATAATTCTGGAGCATGGAGCATGAAAGATCTACAGGTGATTCGAGTACAAGTAATGTACACAAATTTGAGAGACTGCAGAGCCTGGAATGAGAAAGTTAATAAGCGTCTCTCACATACATAAAGGTGAAGTCAAGTGTGGAGCACTCCATTTCTAAATCCCATATCCACATGGTTGTCAGAGTGACAAAGCTAGATACAAAAGAAACAGCTTGGACTGGAACAGGAGAGAAAGGAGCTTCCAAGTGGGAAGAAGAGCATGGAACAGCGGGAGAGGTAAAAAGGCAAAAGACTTTGGAATGAGCTGAGGGAGAAATGGAATGAGCAGAGGAACGGCAGGAAGTCTGCAGGGCAGAGCCTGATGCCCTTCTTGCACTGTTGCTTACCTGTATGTCTGTCCTCACTGACTGGGCCCCCAGCATCTGGGTGACTTGGGGCTAGTTATCCCCAGCACTAAGTTCACAGAGCCCTCCAACAGTCAACACCAAACAGTTTGGGAAGGTTTGCTCTCTTCCTCCTCTTTTACCATGACTTCTAGGAAACCTAATTAGTAGTTTCTTTTTTTTCACTCCAGTTTCTTTCATTTCCCCCTTTCTGTGCTATAAATCAAACCAGGTTTTTGTTTACTCAACTATGGGAAGCCAGAGACAAAGTGACAGGACCAAAGGTTCATAGCCAAGAGTGGTCCATCAAACAGGCTACATGGAGGTGGACCAGACAAGGGGCAGTGACCAGAGGAGAACAAAAAGAAGTTAAGCCACAAGGCAGCTGAAGTGGGAGAGTGGGATCTGCTTGTGCTTGCAAACGTTTGCGGAGGGATCCTTTTCATGGAATCCTTTTCCTGGGCCCCTGGCATTATTCATGGGCTGGGGCAGAATGTTAGAAGGGATCTGACTAGGGCGGCGACAGGAAAAGGCACACAGCGAAAGAAAGGTGGAAGACTCAGAGACTGGTGTAAGTTTGCGGAGAAGAGGAACCTCAGACTAAGCGAAGCCAGCTAGGAAGAATAAAGAAGGGTCTGTAGGTTGACAAGGGGTGTTGTACAGAGGAAAGCCTAAGATATGGGACGAAATGAAGGTCTTCAAAAGCAAGACTCAAAGACGGAGGTCTCGCCCTAAACAGAAACAGCAAAACAAAGCCACAGGGACGTAGCTGCCTCACACCCGCTTCGCCAGCGGGACCTGCTGGCTTCCAAGCTACCAGGAAGGTCTGCACCACAGACGCAAACCACAACACCCATGGTGCCCCGCGCGTAGCCAAACCCAGCCTCTTCCGGTCTCCACTAGCCAATGAGCTTTGCCAAGGCCCTCTGCCCCGGAAAAGCCCCGGGAAAGGTGGGCGCTTCCGGTCAGTGTGGCGCTTCCCTTTGCTCCTCAAAGACCCCAACGGTGCAGTTTCGCTACGAGACGGTGAGGCATCGGCCCCAGGCCTGGGGAAGGGTCTGCATGGCATAGGTCCCACCAACGGAAGGTGGACTGGCAGCGGTTGGAGAGCCAACCCACCCGTCGGGCTTTTCCCGCCCCCCGTTTCCGTGGCCAACCTGTGGCGCATGCGCACGCCTCCCCACCACCCCACCTCCCCACCTCCATGGCCTTGAATTTTAAGTATAAATTATAATGCACTTCCCCACGCCCTGGGGTGGGCCTCCGCCGTGGAGCACGCGCCCACCTTGAGAAAGACCCAGACCACCGGTCCCCGGGCGCTGGCCTACATTGCTGTGTTCAAGGCATTGTATTTGGGGTAATAGCCCTTTCACCAAGCAGCTGTGGGAGGTTGAGCAGGTCCCTTAACAGAGCAATGAGAATTGCTTACAGAGCAATGAGAATTTTCTAAGTCTTGTGGCCAATCACTAGAATTCTCGGCTTTTCGTTGTCCTTTAGAGAGAAACAGTGTAAGAGAAAACACATTCGCTGAAGTTAAAAATTACAAAAGGGAATTAAAAGTTATTCATCTCTTGTTGTTTGTAACAAAAATAACTTTTTTATATCAATTTGACATTTTTAAAGTGCTCAGTAACCATGGACAGTGACGAAGAACATGATAAAATTCTGGATATATTTGCTGACAATTTATCAGACATTCCAAGTGAAAGTGATGAAAGCTTTGACAGGGGCAGTGATATAGTTATTCCTTCAAAAAGGCGAAAAGTAGTAGTTTCAAGTGATTCCGAACCTGAAAATTTGAACAATTCCACACATGGTTTTGAGTGTAATTTGCATCTTGGTTGCCGAGATAATGATTGGTCCAAAGAGGACTTTCAAACTAATTTGGAAAAATTGGAAGGAAATTCTGGGGTTACAGTTCTATCACCTTATTGTAAAAACATCACTGAAGTCACCAACTTGATTTTTGAAGACGATCTGTTAGAACTGTTACCCTCGCTCCTTGCTCCAGTGATCACAGAGAACAACAAGCTCGTCTGAGCAAGAACTGAGATGTCAGCCTCTCCTTTATGAGTGGTTCTGTTTTAGACCCCTCACTTGGAAGTGAGGACATATGCATAGCACTTGATCCCTTAACTGGTGACAGACACATGACCTCATCAATCCCCCTTCTGTTTTCACATCCACACCATCTTCTATTTATTTTCTATGGAGGTAGAAGATGGAATATGGTTTGGGACAGCAGAACTGGCTTGCCAGCTGTTGATGGTACCTCTCAGATTGGTGTCCTGACAATTCCAGGGTACCAAATGGGTCCTACTTACCACCCTGCAAAACACATGTTCTCTCCTTTGTCACACACCTTGACACCTCTTGTTCCTTTTTCTGTGACCAGCTCCTCCTTATCTTTTAGGTATCTATGTAGATATCACTACCAGAAAGAAATCCTAACTCTGCCAAGCCTTACCTATCAGTTCTCAAGCTCCTGGTGCCTTCCTTATCATAGCACCTACCACATTATCTTCCAAATGATTAATAGTCTGTCTTCCCCATGAGACTGGCTCCACAAGGGCTTGAACAAAGTCAGCTTGGCTGACTCATCTCTGTACTCCTAGTGCCTCACACACAGAAAATACTCAGTATTTGTTGGATAAATACATAACAAATGATTACTATGGTTTTGGGTAAGAGTCTGTGATTTGCAAAAGCCGAGGAGGGTCCTGCTGAAATTGCCATTGTCCCTGCTTCCCCTCTTCCTGAGAACTGCTGAGCTCCACAGATCAGGTTATTTGGTAGGACATCTTAGGAAGAGCTGAAGGGCTGTGTTAGAATTCGTGCTTTTATCAATTCGTTTTACTTGATCAATCTACCCTATAAGCATTTGCAAAAGAGGAAATTGTGAGATAACTCTGGATAGGGTGTTACCCTGAACTGTTAGCTCCAGGCCTCACAAGCCCAAGCCCAAGCCCCTTTCCCGGGTGATTAAAAGTTTGACTCTGCCCAGTAGGAGTTCCCTTTCCGCTATTTGACTTAAATTCAAGGGAAATTATGGCTTCTCCTACTACTGCACTAGAGCCTCTGAATGTGACATCCATTCATCTGTCAACAAACTGCTATTAACATATGTGAGGGCTCTGGGAGCTTAAATGTGTATCAGGTTCGTGGAAACAGGAAGGAGGATGAACAGCTTCCCTAAGTAAGGATGTTCCTATGCTCAGACCCTGGATAGATCCCCTAGGAGTCAGAGCCATTCCTCCCTCGCTTCCCTTCCCTCCCACTCCGCACTCCACAATGAAGCAGAAAGGAAAAGTTATGCCAGAGGCTTAGGGGGAAATGCCTCTTGGGTGTCAGAGATGAAAGAGGGATATTGTTTCAAGATCCTCCCATATCCCCTGTCCTGAATTGTCTTCTCTACTTTAAAATAGAGTAGCATTTAAAAAAGTATATTTTTATTGATTTCATAGAGGAAGGGAGAGAGAGAAATATCAATAATGAGAGAGAATCATTGATAAGCTGCCTCCTGCACACCCCACACTGGGGATGGACCCCGCCACCCAGTCATGTGCCCTGACCAAGAACTAAACCTTGACCTCCTGGGATAGGTTAACAATCACGGAGCCACGCCTGCCGGGCTAAAATGGAGTAGCCTTTTTGTCTGAAGAACCAAGTTCCTGGATTAACTAAAACACGAATTTACAAATGTATATATTGGGCGATATTTATATGCAAGTGAGAAGGAAAATAGGGGGGGGGTCAACTTTGGGGGCTTACAGCCTAGTTCAGTTTGTAGCTAAATAATAATTTTACTTCCCCATTCTAACTGAAGCTGCAACACCCACCCCGAGGGGCCCGCCTCAAGAAGATACATATGTCAAAACCTCCCCGCATTGGCAGTTCAGGCTTGGGATCAGAGTCCCCTGAACTAGCAGCGCTGTGTATGTAATAAAGGTTTACTTTCGTGGGTCCTCTGGGTGCTGGCTGTCATTCTCCTGGGTCATTTGCCAAAACACAAGTCTCTATACTACAGTAGCGACCCAGTCAGTTCCTGCTTTCAAGTTACAACCTAGTAAGGGGGGAGGGGAAGCATTAAGTACTCTGATGGAAATATCCATTTATGGCCTGGATGTTGTGGAGGTCAGGATCCTAAGGAAAATAAGACTGGCTTATTAGACTGAAAGTAGACATTGACCAAGCAGAAGAGGAGGAGGGCAGAGTGAACAGGTACAGAGACCAGGAGATAATAGAAGCTAACCTTTGCTGAGCTCCAAGCTTACTCTCCAAGCTTGTGCTGGACACTGTTCTAAGAACTTCACAAGTATTACCTCATTTGATTCTCACAACAACCTTTGAAACATGAACTATGATAAACCCCATTTTTTTTGGTGAAGAAACATGGAGACATGGAGATGTTCAGTAAATATATTGAACAAGATCACAGTTTACTTCCTATTCAAACCAGGAAGTTTCTGCCTTTCATTTCTTTGCTACCAGGTATCGATACTAGAAGTCATTGTAAGCTGTCTTTTGTAAAGGAATATGAAATGTATGGGAAAGCAGGAGAGGAAAAGAAAACAGGCTAGTAGGTACGGAAAGACAACATGAATGAAGAGTTTACACATTATACTGTCTGGTGGTATTTGGACTATCCTAAATGTGATGGATCAGCCCCAGCCAGCTGGCTGGCAACCAATCAATGTGTCTCTTTCACAACTCTCTCTCCTTCCTTTCCTCCCTCTTTCTTCTCTCCTTCTCTCCCTTCCCCTCCCCCCCACCTCTTCCATTCTCTCTACAGTCAATGGGGGAAAATTCCTTAAGTGAAGACTAAAAAAAAAAAAAAAAAAGGAAGAGGGATCAAAATTAGGGATTTTTAGTGAAGTGGTCTGATTTATGTATATTACTCTTACCATTGAGTAAGACAGATTATAAGACTGTTAAACGTATGAAGACCAATTGGTAAACTGTTGCAGGGATCCAGACAAGAATGATCAAGACAAGAAATTAAAGTTTAGCTATGGTAGAAGCAATGGGGGTAGGAAGAGTGGATGGATGTGGGAGGTATTTCAGAAGTGGAGCTCATAGTATATTAAAACCGAGCCAGTGCAGGGAGTCGGAAGTGAAGAGCAACCTAAAATGACTCCCAGGTTTCTTATTGTGGAGAGAGGATATAGAGAAGCAGACTTGAATGGGAAGATAATTAGGTTGGGTATAATTGTGAGGGTTTGAGATGCTTGTGCAATAGATGAGACAACTGGACCAATGAGAAGTTAGGTTATGAATCTGGAGTAAGAAATGAGATCTGCCGAAACCAGTTCAGCTCAGTGGTAGAGCATTGGTCTACGGACTGAAAGGTCCCGGGTTCGATTCCTGTCAAGGACATGTACCTTGGTTGTGGGCGCATCCCCGGTTGGGGGGTGTGCAGGAGGGAGCTGATCGATGTTTCTCTCTCATCGATGTTTCTAGCTCTCTATCTCTCTTTTTTCCTCTCTGTAAAAAATCAATAAAATATATTAAGAAAGAAATGAGTTACAGACTGGAGAGTCATTTGGCATACAGATGATTATTCAAACCACGAGAATGGACGAAATAACCCAGGGAAGATTTCAGAACAGAAACAAACTAAAGGTGGACTCGGGAAAAACATCCAAGATACAAAAGGGTAGTTGGATGCAAGGGGACCAGGAGGAGCCCGGGGAAGGAGGAGATTGTGGTTGTGCTACCACCAAAACTCAGGGGAGGAAAGGGTTTCAAGAAAGAAAAACTGAACCTGGAGAAGCGGCCTTCCCCCAGCGAGATGCACAGCTTTACCTCTGCTTCTCATCACCGTCTTCATCTTCGGTCCCAGGGCCCCACAGCCTCCTGGTTCCAACCGGGGGTGTGGCTCCGCCCCCTTTTACTTGTATTGAAAAATCTCATGGGTTGAAAGATGTACTTTTTATAATAAAGTGTAGAAAAAAAAAAGAAAAACTGGTCAATTCTGACATAAAATTTGGGAAGCATTCCCATCCATAAGTTCTTTCTCTCTCTTTTTTTTTTTCTCTTTTGCTTAATCCCTTTATCTCCCTCCCTGCCACCACCCAGCCTCCTACCACCAGAGCTGACTGCCTGCTCTCAATGAATCTTTCTCTACTTTGCTTGTTATTTCAGTTTTTTGTTTTTTTTTTTCATTAGATTCCACATAAGAGTGAAATGATACGGATATGATTGAAATCATATGGTACTTGTCTTTCTCTGACTGGCTTATTTCACTTAGTATAATGTGGTGTGTTTGCTGATGTTGTTTTTTGTTTTAAATATTTTTTTTATTGGTTTCAGAAAAGAAAGGAGAGGGAGAGAAATCAGCTGCCTCCTGCATGGCCTCTACTGGGGATCGAGCCCGAAACCAAGGTACATGCTCTTAACTAGAATTGAACCCAGGGCCCTGCTCCTTCCACTGAGCCAAACCAGCGAGGGCTGTTGTTGTTTTTTAAATGAGACAGACTTAGCATGATGTATTAGTTTTCTTTTGCTGCTCTAACAAATTACCACAAAGTCAGTGACTTAACACAATTTATTATTTTACAGTTCTGGAGATCAGAGGTCTTAAAATGAGTTGGTAAGGCTGCATTCTTGTTGGGAGTTCTAGGAGAGAATCTGTTTTCATGCCCTTCCTAGTATCTAGAAGCTGCCTGCATTCATTGGATTGTGACCCCTTCCTGGTCTTCAATGTAGCATCTTCCAGTCTCTCTCTCTTTCCCGCTGATGTTGTCGCATTGCCTTCTGTCTGACTCGTCAAAGTATCCTTCTGATTACATGTAGCCTATTCAGATAATCAAGTATAATTTCCCCACTTAAAAATCCATAACTTAGCCGAAACCGATTTGGCTCAGTGGTAGAGCGTCGGTCTGCAGACTGAAAGGTCCCGGGTTTGATTCCGGTCAAGGGCATGTATGTTGGTTGCGGGCACATCCCCGGCGGGGGTTGTGCAAGAGGCAGCCAGTCAATGTTTCTCTCTCATCGACGTTTCTAGCTCTCTATCTCTCTCCCTTCCTCTCTGTAAAAAA